AGGAGTGGGGCCGGCCAGCCCACCACCCACAGTCCCTCCCACAGCCAGCTCCACCCCCCATACCAATCGGGTGGGGCTGGCCACCAAGCTCCCATGGCCCCTCCCCCAGCCACTGACCCCCATTTGGCCCCCCACACCCTAATCCCAGCGAACCCGCGGGATCAGGGGTTGGAGTGGCCAACCAACCTCCCAAGGCCCCTCCCCCTGGTTGGCCCTGCCCCTGATCACCCTCACCCCAATAGGGGCAGGGCCGGACAGCCAACTTCCTGCAGCCCCCGCCCCCCCAATGGGGCCTGCTGGCCAAGCGCCTGCAGCCAGCCTAGCCCTGAACAAGCCCAGATTGGTGCCAGGCCGGCTGGACCCCACCCATGCATGAATTTGTGCACTGGGCCTCTAGTATTTTAATAAACTCTCATACAGCTGTTAAGACAATAAATGTAATTGAAATGAAGGGTTTTGATAAAGCTTTTCAGTAATCATTATATCTGTGTATACATAGTTTTCTGAAGTCTTTAGTGATTTAAAAACTTTGAAGCATTGCTGGGTTAAATGATAACAGTCATTGAATATCTAAATATTTTAGAATAACATGGAATTGTAAAACATCCATTGCTAGACAAGTCTTAAGTTTGCCTGCTCTTAGCTTTTTATTGCAAGAAGGTCTGTAAGTGGATTTGGAACTGTTGATGTAATGTCTTGTGCTTTGTTGAAGGTGTGTTTTCTTGAAAGTAAGAGTATGTTTAAAGTGTGTTCATAAACATCAACGTAAGGAATACCGGTTGTGTTCTTTTGGTTACCACTGGAAGTTAAGGTTTCTAAGGATTAAAAGTTCAAATTAAGAAAAAATTGTATAGTTGTAATGATAGAAGGCATAAAGTATGAGGCACATTTTACAGGACAAGGATTGAAATTGAGTCATTCTAATGATAGTTATTTCTGAACAGATAAAAAGATTTATACAAATTGTAAAAAGGTGTATAAAAGGTTGTGAAGGTTACAAAAGTTGGGAAAAGTTCAAGTTTTTAGAAAAACCAGTCAGGTTCTAGTCCCCTTCCTCCACCTAATTTCTCCCTCGTGGACCCAGAGTCGCTTTCATTACACTCTCTCTTGCTCTTTGTGGGTGCGGGGACATCTACCTGTCCCGCTGCAGAGTAAGGCCGTTCTCAAAGTGCGGCAGTACTAAGAGGAAAGGCAAACCTGCCTCTGGATACGAGTCACCCACTGGTGTCACCGCCCCCGGGGAACACCCGGCAATGGGGTCCAGTGAACCAGGACCTGATCACCCCTGACTTTCGAAGGGACCCTCCTTTCCTAGTATTTCTAACAACCCCACTCGTGCCCTGTCACATCCTAGGTCACCAGGGTTTCTAACTTTTTAGTAAGCCAAAGTGGCCCCACCCCGGCTCGCTCTCCTTGCTTAAGTCCTCAGATTGGAGCCTAGCCTTTCTTTCTTTCTTTTTTTAAAAATATTTTATTGATTTTTCACAGAGAGGAAGAGAGTTAGAAGCACCAATCAGCTGCTTCCTGCACACCTCCTACTGGGGATGTGCCCTCAACCCAGGTACATGCCCTTGATCGGAATCGAACCTGGGACCTTTCAGTTCACTGGTAGGGCGGAGCCTAGACTTTCTTTGTTTCCAACACTGATTCACAGCCCATAACACTTTCATTGAACGTCTCAACAGGACTTCCTGCTTCGTATTTGGGAACGTCTCTCCCATTTTATAGCCTTTTCTTAAAAGTGATCAAAAGCAAATGAAAAATCTTATGTCCTCTCTACAAAATTAGTAATTTGCATCATGTGTACAGTCTTTACGTATTGGTCTATATGTTATATGTGGTGTATTTCCTGCCTCCGGATGGCACTACTAGGGTATAATAGCTTGTTGGCCTACAGAGAATTAAATAAGATCGTATGGTCTTGACAATGTATTTAATATGAAAGCCAGTTTAATTAATATCTTTTAAAGTTATTACCATAAAACTGTACATTTGTTTTATCTAAATTTACAAAAGATGTATAATGTAATCTTTTGGTTAAGTATATTTAACAACCCTGCCGAAGTTTAAATTTCAAAAGACTTTTTTAACAGAGAAATGACTTTGAGTTATTTCAGTGGGCCCTGAAATACCTCAAGGATTTCTTTTCTCTCCTAAGTTTTCAAACTAATTAGGCCTATTTCATGTGCTTGAAAAATTACATGGGAAGCTTTGCCAAATAAAAATTAATAATAATAATAACTATGTTTAATTATATACATATATTTTTATTAAAGTAGAGGTTCTGGAGATTTCAGTCTCTCTAGGAAGGAACGTGCAAAAATTCAGAGCCGAGTTCAGAGAGGAGATTCCCAGGAGTAACAGGTACCCTCTCTGTGACACCAGAGGAGCTAGAGGAATAGTTCCCTGTGGAACTCCAGGTGTCCGTGATCCATGCATTGGGGCATTTATGAATTGTTTCCAGTACTCCGTGAGCACTTCCAATAAGCTATGTGCAGCATTTGAAATCTTACAGATTGCTTGCTCTTTACATATTAAAACTCTACATTGAACCTAAGAATATAAACTTCATGTCATTTCATAACAATTATTATTTCCCAAGAAGTTGTTATCTTGGACTATTATACCTTACAGAAAAGCAAGGTTCTTTGTCAATTGTTTTTTTAAAATATATTTTATTGATTTTTCACAGTGAGGAAGGGAGAGAGATAGAGACTCAGAAACATCAATCAGCCACCTCCTGCACATCTCCCACTGGGGATGTGCCCGCAACCAAGGTACATGCCCCCGACCGGAATCGAACCTGGGACCTTTTGGTCCGCAGGCTGACGCTCTATCCACTGAGCCAAACCATTTAGGGTTGTCAATTGTTGTATGGTCAAGTCTATAAGCATGTCATTTTAAGTTTTCATTTCCTTCAGATATAAGAGAACTTGTTTCTATTTCCCCAGGATGATTTGGTAAATTATATCTTCATAAGCAATATGGAAGCATTTATATTTTTCTTCCTACATAATCCCTCCAGAATTGAACAACCCTCAATGAATGAGTATCATTATTCTCATGTCAATGTGTTTGTTTGCATAAATCCAATAAGAATCTATTCTCTTGCCCTAGCTAGTTTGGCTCAGTGGATAGAGCGTTGGCCTGCAGACTGAAGGGTGCCAGATTCGATTCTGGTCAAGGGCACTTGTCTGGGTTGTGGGCTTGATCCCCAGTGCGGGGCGTGCAGGAGGCAGCTGATCAGTGATTCTCTCTCATCATTGATGTTTCTATCTCTCTCTCTCCCTCTCCTGTCTAAAATCAATAATAAAAATGTATTTAAAAAAAAAAGAGGGAGGAATGTTAGGGTGCACTACCCTTGGCCTCTCTTGTTTGGACATGTTTTCTGAAATATATTGCTGTAAGTTTTTTTTCCATAGCTTCAAGCAAACGGCCTGCACCTGCAGAAGATAAGATACACTCCCCAGCCGACTCAGGCACTCCCCTCTGCCTGCCTGGGTTGTGTGCCCACCAGACATCCTGCTATCTTCCAAGGGTGTCCTGTGGTTCAGGCAGCTCCCCCAGCTGGCCGATGCAGCCCTGACCCAGACCCTGCACAAGAACATAAACACCCCTCGGTGCTGACACCGACACACTGGCCCGCCCGCTGTGAGAGAATGTAATACAATTTCTCAGACTCTCACAACGTCTCTTGGCCTGGCTCCTGTTGGCGCAGACCTAACACACTCAACACATCACACTTTTTCATTGACACAGGACTGGATTTATTCAACTAGTAAATCTAATGCAGAAGGAGAAAGGAAATGAGCAAAAGACACAAAAGAGAACAGACAAAAATGCTGGGTGATATTCATCCACAAAGAAAACAGGACCTTCCCCTTCTCCAAGCTTAATGTTATGAATCCTGTGGATTACCCACCGAGTCATCTCCCCATTCTCCTTCCAATCAGAATACCTGTTCTTTGTCTTGTTTTGATTTGTTTGGGAATCTACTGTTTCCTGTACAGCCATGTGCTTCAGGAGGAGGCAGAGGCTCCGGTCTAAGTTCCAAGAAGTAACACATGATTGTTTCCCAATCATGTTGCTCCTCTTCTTAACAGTATTTAGGCTTCGTGTGTGCATGGGGCACAATTCTGGCTAGTAAGGGAATGGGCCACCATGAGGTAAGTGTTCAGGGGCTTATGGGAAAGATTTTACTCAAAAGGAAAACCAGGGGTCTTCCCTATTGGGTGTTGTTTTGTCTGCACATGGTGCCTACCACATGACATCTTGCAACCATAAAAGACCTGAGCTAACACTGAGGAAGGATGGTACTGAGGCCGCCTCCAGACTTCTTGCTCCGTGACACGATACCCTGCCAATTGGAGTCAGTGT